TCGGACATACTGTCTCCGGAGGACGTCTCCCCAGTTGTCCGACCGGACAAGTCGGACATCCAGAGGGGGCCCAGACGTCCGCCCTGGTAAACTAGATAAAATGACTGTTTTTTTTTTTGTTTTTTTTTTTTTAATTGAAAAAATGACTGTTTTGGAAAGACATTGACCGTTCTTCCACATTATCGGTTTTTGGGAAAAACAGGCTCAGAATTTGAAAAGCAAAAAAAAAAAAAAAATTGATAAAAATTCATAAAACACTACCGGTTCTTGGGAAAAACGAGTTGAGAATTTTAAAATCATAGAAATTGTATGAAGAGTGCGCAGCAGATTTTCCTTTTCGCAAACCACCTCCCCCTAGAGATCATCATACATGGTTATCACTCTCAAAAATTGGCATTCCCTGTAGACGTGTACAGCAGACATTTATCATTCCTTCCAGCAGTCCCAGTAGAACAAAGGAATCTCAGAGACCCCGTACAGTCAAACTCAGGCTCACCAGTGACAAGCAACTGGGACCAGTTGGGACCAGTTGGGACCAGTTGGGACCAGTTGGGCCAGTTGGGAACAGTTGGGACCAGTTGGGACCCAGAAGCAAGGGTGAGAACCCCTGCCCCTGCCATGTCTGCAAATGTCTGTCTGATATGCGAATGGCAGAGATGTCCACTCCAAGTTAGAAAGCACTCAATACAGCGAATGATGATGACGATGACGATGATGATGATGATTGACAAATCATCAGCTTCGTCATCATCATCAGCAGCAGGAGGAGGGTAAATCTTCCTAAAGGGTTTGGTGAGGGGAATAGGAAAGTAACAGGGGTGGGGGGAGAGGGGGGGGGAGGGAGGGGGGGAGAAGGGGGCTGAGGAGAAGATGAAGTACTCACAGGAAGAAGGAATCCTCTTGAGACAACGCCAAGCAGCTGCTTTTCAAGAGAGCAAAAAACGGGACATACCCAGCCAGACCAAAAATTTTCAGAAGTGCACAACAACGGAGGAGAGAAATCATAGAAGCAAGCGTGGTAGTGCAGAGATACAGAATAGAGGGTAAAGGTATCACAAGGGGGAGAGAGAGA